CCTCCTGAAGATGAGGGAGCTGGTGGCCGGCAATGAAAGGCAGCAGCAAGGACTCGAGCACCGGATGTCGGAGCTCGAGAACAACTTGTCGGAGATCCGTGGCTCACTGCGGGTGTCATACACCGGCCTACATCAGCTCGCCGGGGAATGCGGCGTCACGACTACCATCCCGGCGAACCCTGATCAGTTCTCACTGACGTCCTCGCTTGCGAAGCTGGCTACGGCGATGGAGGAGATCCCCTCCAAGCATGCGGCCAGGATCGGCGAGGAGACGTCCAACGGGATCTACACTGGGGTGTGCCACGTCCTCACGTGCGTGAGGTTGGCGCACTGTGATCTTGACCTTAAAAAGGTTTTGGATCAGGGGGCACTGATGACGCGCGTCGGGGCGTAATGGAGGAGGTCGGTGACCTAGGGGAATCCGTGGTCCCCCTTTTTTAATTCCCTTAACCACCAATTATGCTGTAAAACTTTTGTAGGTTCAAATTGCCCTTGTGTATGCGGTTGTTTCCTTTGTTTTCTTAGCATGTTGATTCCGAGTACTTTGTTGTCATTGTAGAGATGTCGATATTGAGGATGTCCAGCAGCGCAGGCAGCCTGAGACACCGGTAATCGTTCCGGCACTTGCGCTTGAGCCATACGTGCCGCAGGATGACGTCGATCAAAGCCTGTCCGCGGAGACGAACATGGCAATAACGTCCTTAGGTTGGTACTTTGGGCTTCACTTCCTTTGCTCTTTTGTTTGGATTGACTTAATTTGGTTTGTTCTCGGGAGAGAAGGACAGCTTGACTCAGTCCTTTCCGTGTTGGGCAGACCTCGAGAGCGCGTTGGCCGACCGAGATCGTCGAATCCAGTACTGGAGGACGAAGTTCGAGGTGGCCAAACTCGAGAGGACCACGGTGGAAGTGAAGAAAGACCAAGCCGTGGAAGCCCTCCGAGGTCGCGAGGTGTGGTTCCACGCGTACCTCAGGAGCTATTGTACGGCAATGGCTGGAGTCTGTAGGGAGCTCCAAGTACCTCGCAGGAATCCCGAGGAGTCAGCGGCCGGATATATCTCGTGGTTGAATAGGGCCTGCACCCAACTCGAAGGCATCGGCAAGCGTATCGACGAGGCCCTGAAACAGGAGTGTCGTTGATCGAGCCGCTATGCCAGAGGGCATGTGCTGACCTGTATCCGAGATCACCGCCCGCAGCTGCACCTCGAGTTCCTCGATGAAGGGTTCTCACGTTCTCGGAGGGCTCCCGCAGAGATAGACGATCTGGCGAAGTCGATGGCGCCACTCGCCGGAAGGTCTTTTAATCCATGGATTGGCGTTGGCCGTCCTGGTAGTCTTCGTATCCTGTAGAAAATATCTCGGGGAGACATGTAATATATTTTGGGATATTTACGAATTGTAAGAGGTACTTGTAAAATAGGAAAGGAATCTATCTAGCTAAGTTCTCTTACTCTGGATATGCTGTGTATGAGTGTTTTCTCACTTTGCGACTCCGATCAGTCACTTGAGTCATACACTCTCCCTAGCCCCCAGCCTTGTCGTCGGAGAATCGTTCTTGGAGGATAAGGCTCTTGGACCCTTGACCTGCCTTGGTTGAAAAAGCACTGACACTAGCCCCCAGCCGTGAAGTTGGAAAACTCAATTTCCGATTACACGGTTTGGTTAATACGCACGACGAGGACTCTTACATGACCAGATCTTACATGGTCGTTTGTCTCTACATGATCCGACAAGGCCTTATCCGCTCTGGGCATCCCCAGCCGAAGTTCTCTTAGGTTCTCAGAGGCCTTGTCAAGATGGCGTAAAGGGACATGAGGATAGGTTTCAACGCTAGGTGTCGTCGTGGTAAGGGGTCGTCGGGAAGGAACTCTTTGATCATAGTCTTTACCTGAAATCAACTTTATTGAAGTCGCAAGACTTGCGTGGTCGTGTATGGTCCTTCCCACTTGGGTGAGAGCTTGTTACGCCCTGCTTCGCTTTGAACCCGTCGGAGGACGTAATCGCCGCTCGAAAGCGTGCGTGCTCTGATGCGCTTCTTGTGGTATCGGCAAAGGGACTGTTGGTAACTGGTTGCTCTGACGGCAACTCTTTCTCGATGTTCCTCGAGTAGATTCACATCGTTGCTTCGCTGCTCCTCTTGATCCTCGTCGGAGTACTTCTGTACTCGTGTGCTTTGATGTCGTAGCTCCGTGGGGAGCATGGCTTCTAAGCCATACATGAGGAAGAAGGGTGTCTCCTTGTTGGACGTTGTCGGTGTGGTACTCACGGCCCATAGGACAGAGGGGAGTTCTTCGACCCACTTCTTGTCGTGTGACATGAGTCTGTCGTAGACACGGGTCTTGATCCCTTATAGTACTATGTCGTTTGCCCTCTCGACTTGTCCATTGCTCTGAGGGTGAGAAACTGAGGTAAAGCATATCTTTACTCCCAATCTAATGCAGTAATCCTGGAAGTCGGCACTGATGAACTGGTAGCCGTTATCTGTTATGATGCGGTGAGGCAATCCATATCTGCAGAATATCCCTTTGATAAACTCAATGGCGTTGTCAGCCTTGATTTACCCGGTGGGCATCGCTTCAATCCACTTGGTGAACTTGTCGATCGCCACGAATAGGAACCTGTAGCTGCCTTGTCCTCGCGGGAATGGTCCGAGTATGTCGAGCCCCCAACACGAGAATGGGTAAGAGGGATATTCTGGAGCGCTTGCGCTGGTAGCCTTGTGTGCTTGCTGTGGAATTGACAGGCTTCACACCGCTGAACCATGTCGCAAGCGTCTTTGAGCGCGGTCGGCCAGAAAAACCCTTGTCGGAAGGCTTTTTTGACTAATGTCCGACCTGCGGCGTGTGACCCGCAGATCCCTTCATTTATGTCGAGGAGGAGATGTTTGCTGTCGTCGAATGAGATGCATTTGAGAAGTACCCCATTTGGCGCCTTCTTGTATAGATCGTTGCCGATCATACAATAAATCTTGGCTTGTCGGGTTATTTTCTCGGCTTCTGCATCGTCCTCGGGCAACTCGTCACTTCTCAGGAACTTGATGAGTGGGGTCCGCCAGTCGTCTGTGGTCTCGATGTCGGCAACGGTGCATCCTGCCTCTGTAGCCCCTAAGCCGATGTCGGGGACGACTGTGCTATCTTCGTCGTTTGCCTCTTTCACCGATAGTTTTGTCAGGACGTACAGGAAGGTGCCAGGTTCGAGTGGCTCTCATCTTGATGCTTGTCGTGCTAGGTCGTCTGGTTTGATGTTGTCCTTGCGGTATACATGTTGGACCTCGATCGCATCAAACCTTTTCTTCAGCTTCCTGACTTCTGCGAGGTACTTGGATAACTCAGGGCTAGAGCACTTGTAGTCTTTGTGCACCTTGTTTGCGACTAGTTCGGAATCCCCTTTCACGATTAGTCGCTTGACTCCTAGTGCGGCTGCTTCTCTTATCCCAGCGAGTAGTCCTTCGTACTCGGCTGTGTTGTTGGTCGCCCTGAAGTTGAGGTGAATTGCATGCTTGAACTGATCTCCCGAAGGAGATGTCAAGATGAACCCTGCCCCTGCTCCTTGGCTATTGAGTGCACCGTCAAATGCCATTGTCCATGTCTCGTTATCGGTCTGATTGTCTGGCCTGTTGTCGGGCATAGTTCAGTCAGCTACGAAATCGGCGAGGACTTGGGACTCGATGGCTATTCGTGACACAAAATGAACATCAAATTGGCTTAGCTCGACTACCCATTTCGCAATGCGGCTGGCAACGTCTTTATTTCTCACGACTTCACCAAGAGGGAAGGAGGAAACAACTATGACTCTGTGGGCTTGGAAGTAGTGGCGTAGCTTTCTTGATGTCATGATTACTGCATAAAGCAGTTTTTGAATCTGTGGGTATCTTGTCTTTGCGTCGTGGAGAGCTTCGCTGACGTAATAATCTGGTCTTTGCACCTTCTCGCTCTCGACAACAATGACGGTACTCACAGAATATGGTGTGGCGGCAATATAGAGGAATAATTCTTCATTAGGTTGGGGGCAACAAGCACAGGGGGATTTGACAGGTAGTGTTTGAGTGCGAGGAACACGTCTTCGGCTTCTTGTGTTCACAGAAATTTGTCTTGTTTCTTCAGCAGAGCAAAGAAGGGTTGTCCTCGTTCTCTCATCCTAGCGACGAATCTGCTCAATGCCGCCATGCATCCAGTTAGCTTCTGGACTTCCTTGAGTCTTGTGGGCGACTTCATGTTCTCAATTGCCTTGATCTTCTCGGGATTTGCTTCGATCCCACTTCCAGAAACGAGGAATCCGAGTAGCTTGCCCGATGGTACTCCGAACATGCACTTCTCTGGATTGAGCATGAGGCAATATCGTCGGAGGTTGTCGAACGTTTCCCGAAGATCATCGATCAATGAGTCGCTTGTCTTGGTCTTGACAACAATGTCATCGATGTAGGCCTCGACATTGTTCCCAAGTTGATCGTTAAGTGCCCCTTGGACCGTGCGTTGGAAAGTATTTCCTGCGGTTATTAGTCCAAACAGCATCTTAATGTAGCAGAATACACCGAACGGCGTGATGAATGCTGTCTTTTCCTCATCCTCTTTTGCCATGCTGATCTGGTGGTAGCCGGAGTAGGCATCAAGAAAGCTTAACAACTCACAACCAGCTGTGGAGTCCACCAATTGGTCTATTCGAGGAAGAGGGAAGTGATCCTTGGGACACGCCTTGTTGAGGTCGATGAAGTCAACACACATCCTCCACTTCCCGTTGGCCTTGCACACCATGACTGGATTGGCTAGCCACTCTGGATGGAGAACCTCTCTGATGAAGCTAGCTTTAAGAAGTTTGTCGAGCTCTTCTCGTATGGCTTGTTTCCGGTCTGGTGCAAATCTCCACAGTTTTTGTTTTACTGGCTTGGCATCGGGTCGCACCATGAGTTTGTGCTCAATCACCTCCCTGGGGACCCCCGGCATGTCGGATGGCTGCCAAGCGAACACGTCTGCATTGTCGCGGAGGAAGGTGATAAGCACGAGTTCCTATTTCACGTCCAGTGATGCCCTGATCTTGACGGTATTGCCGGGGTTGGCACTGGAGAGCGGAACGATCTTGATTGCGCCATCTGGCTTCGGCGTCTTGTTTGTTTTGCTAACTTTCTTGAGTGGCTCAGCTGTGGCGGGTGGGTTGGGGGTGTGCTCGACCATGTCGAGGCTCCGCTTGTCGCACTGTACCGCCAGCTTCGCGTTCCCTTGAATAGTGATTGTTCCCTTCGGCCCAGGCATCTTGAACACTTGATAGGCGTAGTGAGATGTGGCCATGAACTTCACGAGTGCAGTTCTCCCGCTGATGGCATTGTATGCTATGTCAAACTCAGCAACATCAAAGGTGATCTGCTCTGTTCGGAAGTTGTTTGCTTGGCCGAAAGTCACACGAAGCGTGATCTTGCCCAATGGCTTGGATGACGACTGAGAGGTAATTCCATGGAAGGGTTGGTCAGTGGGCGTCAACTCGCTTCGTGGGATCCCCATTGCGTCCAAGGTGCTAGCGAAGAGTAGGTTGATGGAGCTACCGCCGTCGATGAGAACCCGTGCAACTTTGATATTCCGAATAGTGGGCTCAACCACGATCGGATATCGCCCTGAGGTGACAGCATTCTTGGGGTGGTCTGCCTCTAAGAATTCGATCTTCTGCTCTGACCACTTCATTTTGGGTGCAGCCCCCTGCCATGTCGAATAGACTTCGCGCTCCACTTTCTTGTACTCTCACTTTGAGGAGTACGCCGTGGAACCTCCGAAAATGTGCGAGACATGGAGGTCGGAGTCTGGGTATGCTAAGTCTGAGTCCTGAGTAGCTGCTTCAGCGGCCTTCTCGACTACACGTACTCGCTTGCCCTTCTCCAATGCCAGTTGCTTTGCGAGTGCCTTTTTGAGAGTGCTTGTCCGACTTGTGTATAGGGCACCATATTTTCTTTGTGTCGTCGCCTTGTGGGTCTGGGTGTTTGGGCAGGTCCACATATTCTACTACGAGGACCTCCGTTTGGGCTTTCCGTTTCCCACTCCTGTGACTCTTCTTCTTGCTTGACTCAGGTGCGTCCTTGGCTAGTTTTTTCTCTCCCCCTGTCTTCGGCTTGTCGTTCTTGCGTCTTAGGGCATCGTTCTCGTGAGCGCAACAATCGACAATCTCGAATAGCTTGCGAGCAGTCGTGATTCGTCTTGTCACCAACTCCTGGGTGGTGTAGTGATCTCGGACACCGGATTTGAAAGCACGGATCACAGAAGCGTCGGTGATCTCGGGGATCGTATTTCTGCACTCATTAAAGCACCGAATATAGTCCCTCAATGATTCGTCTGGATTCTGCGTCAATGCGTGTAGGTCGTCCTCAATCGTGTGGCGCTTATATGTTCCTTGGAAGTTAGCGACGAATTGCTGCCACAGACCTGCCCATGAAGAAATCGAGTAGGGCGGGAGGTGAACCAGCCATGAACGTGCAAATCCTTTCAATGCCGCCGGCAAATAGTTTGCCAATGCGTCGTCGTCTACTCCGGCAGCGTAGAGTACTATGGAATACACCTGAAGGAACTCCTCAAGGTCGGTGCTTCCATCGTACTTCTCTATCGCTCCCGGTCAAAATCTCTCAGGCCATCGGACATCTCGTAGGGCACAACTGAAAGCCCTACAACGCCGCCAGGGGCGGTGGATTGTCGGCGATCATATGTCCTCCGTGGATGTCTGTCCGATGACGAAGATGATGAGGATGATGACGATGACGATGAGTCACTCGGTTCCGGTGTGCGATTACGAGGATGATGCCGGGTTCTCGAGAATCTTGTCGTCGCCCACCGTTGTTGTCCCGGCACTGATCTCCGTCGTCGTCATCATTACGGCGGCACCCTCGCCTAGTATCGCCAGGCATCCGCTGTTCGCGATTATCGTGTTCGCGGCGGTTGTGGCGATTATCATGGTCTTGGTTCTCGCTCAAATGTCCTCCTTGCTCTTCGTTCTCGTGACGTCGCGAAGAGACGCGATGTCGGGAACGATTTTCATTGTCTCGCGTGCGTCGTGCTTCTCGGCGGCCATTCAGATGGTCACGGAGATCACTGGTGCCACGAGGCGGAGGGGTGGCTTGACGAGGTGATGCCCGCTGCTCAGGTAGTTCGCCATTAGCACCGCCGGTTGGTGGTTGTTCTGGTGGTACCCTGGCAGCGGCCTCCTCGAACGCGTTGCTGAGGTTGGCCACTGATTCCCGTAGTCGTTCTGTTCACTGTTCGAGATCATCGTTCAGAACGGGATCATAAGGGGTTTCCCTCAGTATTGCGTTGATGGTCCTGATGTGATGTGCCGGTGTAACCTCTTGATCCTCCGTTTCCGTGTTGCCACCCCTAGACGTGCTAGTCCCATCGATAGCATACACGTCATGTGGTGTACTTGTCGACGACGAGGCCTGGTCTTCGAGCAAATGTAGAACAGATGGTTCGTGGGGATCGACATCGATTACCCCAACGAATCGATCTGAGATGGTTGCCGCTCCTCGTTCCTTGTCCGCATCTCTAGGAGAGATTTGTGACTGCTGGACCTTAGGAGGTGGCATCCGCATGGCGCTGCGAAGAACCTTGCAGCTTGAAAGATCGTGATTCCTCGTCTTGTGGATAGGACAATAGACATCATGGGTTGGAGAAGTACGGTGAATTCCGTGCTCTCTGCAGGCACGGATTTCGGCTTGTACGTCAAGAAAAACCCAGCAAGCTTGCAAGGTGTGTTTTCTGGTTTTGTGGATAGGACACCAGGACCTTGTTGCCTCAGAAGTTGTCCTCGTCGGCTCATACTCCTTGTCGGAAGGACAAGATTGGGCCGTATTAGGATCCTTATCGGGCTCAGACGTTGTCGATGTTCCGTTTTCCGCTTCTGCGGGAGGATCCTTCAACATGGAGTCTGTTGGGGTCGTAGCCACATCGCTCTCGCTTCCGGCCATTACTGGGCTAGTCGAGATCGGCATCGTAGTATAGACCGGGAAGATGATTTCGCCGACTTGGGTCCGCACCAGCATCGTTGAGGTTGAAGATCCTTGGTTGATGCCGGGGTCGACGCTGTCGTCGAAAAAGTTTGAAGTCATAGTAGTAGAACCTTGAGCACCAAGTCCCCCTACCTGGCGCGCCACTGCCAACGGGGGATGCCCGTAGACCGGATAGGGAGGGTATTGGGGTACGCTGGTACGAGGATCTACATAATACGACATCAAGCAAATAGAAGACAAGGATTATACTGGTTCAAGCCCCTTGACAGGTAATAGCCCTAATCCAATTGGTATGGGATTATATGATGGAAGTCACAGATTACAAAGGGAATAATGGAACTTGATGATACCAACGAGATCGTAATCGAGTTGGTTCGACTAGATCACCAGGCGACTTGGCTCCTGTAGGCTCCGGCTTCATAGGCTGTGGTGGATGTGTTGGTGGTGAGATTCGATGCCTTAGGTCATGCCCGGGGGGTCCATTTTATACCGCGGATCAGTTGATCTTCAAGTGGGACTCGGAGATATCGGGCCCCTCACAAAATGGTAACGACCCAGTTTTTTCCAAATAGGACTCCGTCCATCTGTGAACTCTATTTCTATCTCGTAATAGATTTCCTTAATGCATACAGGAAATATCCGTATACGCACAGGTATACCGTGTTGGCATACAACATATATCCAAGGATAGAGGGTATACCTTATTTGTAACCTTGACAAAACCCATGATTAAACAATGGTTAGAATATGTTAAGATGGCAGGACCAATTGAATGCATATCCATAATTTCTCGTATTGCTTTTAAAGTCTGAATGGTCCCATCACCATCATAGACATTCCCCAACCTTGCTCCATTATTAACGAGGATTATCTTGTGCAAGGGTATACTTTAAAACATGGTCCAAATGCCTCTCTTGTGTTTTCCTTCCAGAATATACAAGGGAGATTCTGTTACCTAACCCAAAATTTCAGTAGTAATAATTGTCGGGAGCTAACCATTCCTCTTGTTGCACAAGAGGGGGTTCGAAGGAGCAGCGTTTCTGGCAAGACAACTCGGAGAATGGCACGGAATGTGTCACACAAAGAAATTTAGCCCAATTTTTCAGACTATCTTGTGTATAAACCCCTATCCAGGAATCAAGCAGGGTACACAAAATGACAAATTAATATATAGATCCAGACGTTAATAAAGAGTAAATACTTATAGATGAGCACTTAGTCCTCACACCGAAAAGAAAGCAACATCAGTGGAAAAATGCGATCCTAGTGGGGCTTCAGCTCCAATCCACAGGCAAAAACTCAATTGGGGTAAAAGCCTTGGTCCTCTAACATCGTATTCAGCTTAGAAGCACAACACTTCTAAAAAGGGGAATAATAGTAAGGTTGAGTACAACCACCGTACTCAGCAAACCACACCAACGATGCAATTGTGCAAGGCGAAACAAGTGAGGTTTGTGGCTATTTGCATAAAAGCGGTTGTAAAACATTTATAGTTTAAAATAGTAAAACAGTTGACTACTTGAATATCCACTAAATATTGCTACACCACAATGAATAGGCCCAACCATACCTTCTGAACTACACTAGTTCATTACGTCCAGTTAATTAAGAGAGTGGGACTAATGACGGTGAATCTGATCGTTCGCCCATAACCGTTACATGTCTATTCAAATAGTTTTAATCTGGCTAGAGGTGAACAACTATACCCACAAGATACAACCCACCGTCTTGTTTGTTCATGGTTAATAAAGGGAAATTAGCATTTCTTATACGTATAACAATAATAAATAATGTAGTTGTAGGACACCAAGGGGTCCGATTCCTTCCAAGAAAAGGATGCTTGTTCTGTTCATATAATCATTCAACCACGCAAGCGTCTGACGTGACAGCGAAAGATGGTGCATCCTAAAGGTTCCTGAGACTGCGGATGGGTTCCACATGTGAGGTGACAGTGGATCTAACGGTGAATGATAAAATATGTAGTTTTGTGATAACGGATGCACTAAATCTATAGTTTTATGATAGATTGGGTAAAATACCTGTAGTTCGGTGAAATTTACTCACAAAAAATTATATATACACATATACAAAATTCGTATACAATTAACCGTCCAAATCAAAAAAAAAGAAACCACCACGTGGCCCCCTTCCCGCCGCCGCCGCCGCCACCGCCACACACCCCCTCCCCATTATCCTTATCTCCGGCGGTAAATCCGTTTTGGACGGTTTCAGAATTTCTGGTATTTGGATTCTACCTATTCCTAAATGGAAATCTCGAATTCAAGCCGGTTCGAGAAATCTGATAAATTGCGACTAGCGAGAAATCCTGCTCAGGTTCCAGTTCGCGCCTGATACACGATGATGGCGGCGGCGGCGGAAGGTGGTGATCTATTCTCCGGATTACCCGACGAAGTTCTCGTCAAAATCATCTCCTTCCTCTCCTTCACCGGCGCCGCCCGCACTGCATCGCTCTCGCGGCGTTGGCGGCCGCTCTGGCTCTGCTCGCCCACCCTCAACCTCAACCTCGTCTGTTCAGGGATATCGTACGGTCACTGACAGCGCGTCCCCGGTTGCCCTCTCGACGAGATGCTCTACCACGACGTCACGGCGTCACTCCGAGCGCCGGGGCGGCATCCCGTCACCAAGCTGTCCGTGCTCGCGACGGGGAGCGAAGAACGACGCTGCCAGGAGGTC